GAGGGGAAGAGAGAGAGAGCGAGAGCACTGAGTCTGGTTTTGCGATACTTTTATAACACAAAACCATGCGATAACTAGTGTTTTGCGATTCCCACGCTAAAGGGCATGATAACTCCAAAAAATGTGATAAAAGTATTGTGACGATTTTATTACAAAAATGTGATACTTTTATCACATTTTTTGGAGTTATCATGCTCATTAGCGTGGGAATCCCAAAACACTAGTTATCTCAAAAATTGAGTAAAAGTATCACAAAACGGATTTCAGTGCCGGTACATAAATAATTACACAATTGGCGAGGAAACGCGTAAGAAAGTTGAAGACTGGTTTCACTAATTTATGACAAATGCATTAGATCTCACGTTTTCTTAATTTATTTCCAATTTATTGATTTATTTCCGATCTGGACATTCGAACCATGGCTCAAAATTCTGCATCGAACGAGCCTTAATGTGAAACCCATACAGAAAGTAAGTTTATTTAAAACAACCGAAACGCTTTGCATTGTTAATCACTACTAGACCGCTATCACATGCAGGCTCGTTTGACGCGCAATTTTACGGTGAGCGTGATTATGTTGACCGGGTTGTCCCGGTTCCAAAGCAAATGGGAATAGAGATGATTTGCTGAGCAGCCTCCCGCCTTCTCTCTCCTGCTGATGTCATTGACCGCGGGAGGCGGATGCGGAGGGAGGAGGGGGGGGGGACGCGGGTGTTGCTGCTGGCGGTCATTGTCAACGTTTGAAAGACCCCGAGCCTCTTGTTTACTAGGTCATACCTTTTATTTTACAATAAGAATGATACTGTATATTATTCCTCTAATACATTCTACTATATAATACATTACTGGTAACAACTCCAGGGCAGGTCACGCCGGGTCACACACCGCATCTTGGCAGCGGTGTAGCGCGCACCCCTGCGAGCCTCGACACTGAATACCCCTGATTGAGTACCGTCTTGTGAGTGTGTGCATGTGCGTTGTATGAGAGGGAGAGAGAGAGAGAGAGAGAGAGAGAGAGAGAGAGAGAGAGAGAGAGAGAGAGAGAGAGAGAGGGGGGGGGGGGGGGGGGGGGGGGAGGTGAACGACACGATAAAAGCACCGGGCGACGACGCGACGAACCGCTGCCTACCCCCGCCATATTTTTTGCCAGTTCTTTATTTTTAATTTTTTTTCGCGTCTCCGCCTTCGCCTTTCTCTACGCGATTCTCTCTGCCTCTTGTTGTCTTCATCCTCGTGTCTCTTCCGGGGGTCGGTGACAGCGCCGCCCGCCCGCTCCAGTTTCAATAAGGCCGAGTGACTCAAACACACAAACAGCCGTTTTGGTGCGCACCGTTTAGTACAAGCCATTGTTACCTGGCGGGAGTTGGTTTGACGCAACCGTATGCCGCCGTCATACTCTTTTGAAATAGAAATAAGAAACAGAAAACTCGCCACGGAAAAAAAAAATCGCGACGACGCCACTTTTCCTTGGAATTACTTCTGTCCATCTGTTTCCATGTCGAGTGTCCGACCACACAACGGTAAGCGGTCAGTAGCCTCCGCACCGAGCCGCACCGTATGAGGCTGGCGGTGTGGGGCGACGGTAGGGTGGGGGGAGAGGTTCTAACCTTAACATGCCTTAAGCATCTTAAGCATACCCCGCGCACTTGCAAACTGCGCCCCAGACCCGACACAGCCACAACGTGAGTCACGAGTAGAGACACCAGTAGTGCAAACCCAGCGGCCCAGACACAGACACTCTTGTTATTGTCGTGCGAATAGGGCTACAAAGCATCGCGAGCGGCCGAACGTGGTCCTGCCCCCCCCCCCACCCCCTCGGACGCACCCGCCCCCTATTTTTAATTTTGAGTTACGGCCCGTAATGCTCCCCCCCCCCTTCCCCTTCAGCGCCACCACCCCCACCACACTAAGGTCAGTACCCCGCCGCAGTGGACCCTCGGCTGTTACTCTCTGAACACTCTTGGCTCTGGCCTCACACCACTGTCGTACTTTTTATTTTATTTTGCAACCAAAATTTTATTTCCTCTACAGTCTTTACACTGTTCGTATTAACATTAATCTTTAGCATGGGTCAAGTCGATACAGTACAGGCTTTTCTGCTTAGCGTATCCTAACTTGAAAAAACAAAGGTGCTAACTCATACCTTTGAAAGGCACTAAGGATTTAGTATGTTTGGTGCCCCAGGAGGAAGGGCACGACTTGGTACCTTTGTTTGACCTATGTGTTATTGTTTGTGCGTGTGTGTGTTTGAGAGAGACAGACAGATGGGGAGAGGTAAAGAGTCACCGCGTACACCGCGCTCATGTGTGTTGTTCATGGCATCTTCACCTTGAACTTGGTCTCGCTCTTGGGCTACACCAATAACGGCCCG